AGTACTCCAGATGGGGCCTCACCAGGGCAGTGTAGAGGGGAAGGAGAACCTCCCTCGACCTGCTGGCCACACTCTTCCTACTGTACCCCAGGATCCCATTGGCTTTCTTGGCAGCCAGGGCACACTGCTGACTCATGGTTAACCTGTCGTCCACCAGGACACCCAGGTCCCTCTCCACAGAGCTGCTCTCCAGCAGGTCCGCCCCAGGCCTGTACCGATGCATGGGGTTGTTCCTCCCCAGGTGCAGGACCCTGCAATTGTTGAACCTCATCAGGTTCCTCTCTGCCCAATTTTCCAGCCTATCCAGGTCTTGCTGAATGGCAGCACAGCCCTCTGGCATATCTAACCCTAAACATACGTTGCATGTGTTTGTTTTGGAGCTAGCTCTAGTGTGTGTTTGTTAGGCCTACAAGAGCTACTGGCCCTGGCCACTTTCAGGGTGAGGTCTATCTGACAGGTGTCCATTTTGGACCTGGACTCTACCTAGGGTTAGTATCTGGATGAGGGTGATGGATAAGTCTATCCCTATCCCAAACACTAACCACTTAACCTCATTCTAACTCCTAACCCTAACCCCAAAGGCTGTACCCCTAACACTAAACCTAAGGCCCCTAACCCTAAACCCTAACGCTCATAGCGCTCTAACCCCAACACTAACCCTAAACCTTAACCCTAATTGCAAACTAACACTTACATTAATCCTAACCCCAACTGTAACCCTTATGATGCTAACCCTAATCCCTAACCTGAACTGTAAACTTATTCCTAATCCCTTAACCCTAACTTCCTCTCCAAGGCATTTTCAACAGCCTGAACACCCCCCCAGTAACACCAGTGCTAGGCACGGCATGCTGTGGGAGGGTCCCTCAGCCTTGCATGTACAACAGGCTGGGACACTGGATTGTATGTGGCTGTGTGCGTTGCCAGCATCCTTGGGACCATGATCTTTGCGGCCCGCAGCATCCCGGGACTACGGAGCACGGTCTGCTGGGCGGGCTCTCCCCAGCCACACCAGCATGGGGTTGGGCACAACACGGGGCTTGTCAGTGCCTGGGATTATGTCACATGGTCCTCTGCGCGGGGATGCCTGAAGGAGCATCTTGGTGATCTCTTAGGGGCAGCTTGTTAAAATCTCGCCAGTCCTTCTTCCGAATTTCTTCAGCCAGCAGAACACACTGCTGATGACGTCTTTTGAGCTTGGCCTCCTGCTCTGCAGGGCAATGCCCACCAATATGTGAGCAACTCATGCAGGGGAGGGGAGGAGGGATTAAACTGAGGACAGAGGAAAATAAGGAAGGGAGAAGGAAAAAAGCAAGGCAGGAAGGCGAGGGGAAGATGAAAGGAAGGCAGGCAAGGAAGGCAGGTAGTGAGGAAGGCAGGCAGGTAGTGAGGAAGGCAGTTCAGGCAGGTAGAAAGGAAGGCAGGAAGGAGGTATTGAGGAAAGTAGTGAGAGAAAAAAGAAGATGATAGTAATTAAGGAAAAGTCACGAAGGCAGGGAAGTTGACAAGGAGGAAGAAAGGAAAGCAGAAAGTCAAGAAGGCAGGAGAGCAGGAAAAAGTGACTTGAAGAGGACAGAGGGCAACAAAAAAAGGAAGAAGGGAAGGAGGGAGAGAAAGAAGGAAGTGCAGTGAAGACTGAAGGAAACAAGGAACGAAGGAAGGGGAAGGAAAAGAGGTGGGAAGGAAAGTAAGAGAGGGAAGGAATATAAGAGAGGGAAAGAAGGTGGGCAAGTAGTGCATCTGTAGATACTGTACGTATCTTTGCAAGTTATCTGCAAACTCATTTGATCGTAAATAACATTTATGGGTTGTCATGATCTAAGGAAATGGATGCTCACTGGAAATAATGGAGGTAGAAGGGACAGTAGGTAGGGAATAGATGGGACCTTAGTAATCATGCTGCATAATCTTATCTGCCAACAAAATCAACCGGCTTTACCTACGTGGACAGGCCACCTTACTTAGCCCGGAAAAGGAATGTGTGATCAATAAATAGCCAAATGCCTCCTCATCCAATTAGTGATGTGCATGAATGGATGAATGAGATTCCCACTGTCCCTGCTCACCAGCCAGAGAAACCACAGCCAGGAGAACAGGCTTGGTGGAACCAGCAGGGAAAGATGACCCTGTTGAGCACAACTCTAGCCTGGCACTGTGAAGAGACATCAGAGGTGTAAATGGGAGGCCTCGCGGCTGTATAACTCACGCCATGGCCCAGACGCCAGTGCAAAGCTACTGATCATTTTTTCCACTTCCCCAGTGAGGTGGGGGCATGGGGGAGCCCCAAAGGGCTCTCACTTCTGATGCGAAGTGCCTGGCATGACCTGCCCCAGGGACAGTGTCAGGTGGAGGTAGTAGGGCAGTAGACCTGTCAAACCGTAACACGGGCGTCCTGAGGTGAGCTCACGGAGGACAGAAACCTCCTGCAGAACAGAAGATCGAGGCTTCATCTTGATTTTCAGAACAAATGTTGTCCATGAAAGCAGGGCCTCATGATCCTTCTGAATTTGGGTTTTAAGCTGGCATCCAGGAGACAGTGGATGAGGAACTCCAGGCCTAAGTCTCCACATGAGGAACTCCGGCATCTAGGATGTTCTGCTCTGTCCAACAACCTGGAGAATGCAGGCTGTTCCTGCAAGGACTAGTCACACAGGAGAAGATGAGGCTGTCTGGGCATCCCCACCACACCTCTCCCACTAGTGGCCTTGAGGAGAGAGCCCAGACAGGTGTCACCCTCTGGTTGTGGGTCAGGGAAACCACTGACACATAGGGGCAGCGGGGCTGGGACTTCCACCATGACAGACACCGGGGTTCAAGCCTCCTGGCGGAACCCCATGCAGGCCTAGAACCAAGGGGAAGGAGGGGTAGTGGAAAAATCAGTCCTTTCTCCCTTGTCTGCCGCTGGCAGTTGTCCCCTGCCCAGCATCCCCTAACAACCCCACATCCTTCCCCAATGATACCCAAGGCCTGAGAAGAGCCCTGTATCTCCAAAACAATCCCACAAACCTCCAGATCTCCCCCTCAAGCCCCGACAGCAGTCCCACATCTACTTCCTGCTGCACACCAAATGTTACCACCTTCCCCAACACGCAGGCATTTGGCCTTGCACGCACCCCCCCCAGAAACACCAGCCCCATCACTGTGTGCTCTGGTCCCCTGCCCTCTTTCCCATCCCTCCCCACACCTCTCACTGTTCCCCGAACTGCCCAGGAAGGAAAAGCCACTTTGCAGGACAGGCTGCGTGGCCTGGGTGAGGATCCTAGACCCACACTAATTTCACAAATAACTCCTGGGATGAGCACATCCAGGTCACATCCTCCTCACTCAACGATGTCCTGCTCTCCCTCCACACCCATGTTCCCCATAGACAACAAGGAGGCTTGTGCTAGAAGAAAACTGTTTCTATTTTAAACAGAACTTTTTTCAACCCTTGTTCCTCAGGGTTTTCTTTTTTTGCAAAGATAAAGTATTAACTGAACAACCTCTGCATATATATATATCATATATGTGTGCGTGTGCGTGCATACATTGCTACACTTACAAACAGGCCTGCAAACTTGTGCCACTCATAGCAGCCCATCCTGCTTCATAGCAGAGAAGACAAAAACTCCAACAAACAGCAAAATAGCTGTTCCCCTCAGCTAGAGGAATGCACTGAACCACATCCACCTGTGGCTCTGGAGGGAATCCCTCCAGCTCCAGAGGGGAGGCTTTGACTTGAACGTAAACACGTCACTTTACAGGGTTTCCAGACACTGGCTGGATGAGACAGCGCCGTGCTAGGAGAAAAGCCTCACCCAGCCGTGCCCAGCCCTGGGGGAGAGCACGCCCAGGGACACTGAACGGTCCTTTACCAGGTGGCAAGCAGTCCTCACCTGGCAGCTGGACTGTGACTTCCTGACTCAGTCAGACACCTAGGGGCAGAAATGGCGACAAAAGAGAAAGGCGAGGAGACGTCTTTCTGAGAGAGGTGGCCACAGTAACACAGCCCGTCTGTCCAGAGCAGTGTTTCTGCATATTAAAGGGGAGTTGCTGAGCAAGCAGACCCTAGAGGAAATGTCCCTCCGTTCTGCCCAAGAGCTCCTCACTGTCTTTCAGGAAAGAAACTCATACAAACTGGTGGAGTCAAAGGCCCAGGCTGGCAGGCTGGATGACAGCCCACTTCTAGTCATAGGCATCATCCTCATCAAAGTAGGAGTCACAGTCAAGGTTATCCGAGTCATCATCGAACAGAAAGTTGTCTTCATCAAGGTCGTCATCGTCATCATAGTCTTCCTGCCACTGCGGTTCATACTCCTCATCTTCAACCTCTTTGCCACCTTCGTCTGTGTTGGGGGAGTCACACAAGATGGTACGTTTTGGCCTGTTGAGGAGGAGACCATCAGAGCAAAGCCCCAGCTGTGAGCAGCAACCACAACCCAGCCCCACACCACCCTCATCCTCGCTACTACCATCACCGCAGCATCCCCACCCAAATCTATGCCTCAGGGACACAGCACCCACGCAGGAGAAGGTGATTAAATGGCTTTATCCACACATGCAGCACAGGGCTGCATCAGAACCAACAAGTTGCAGTCTGCCACCAGCTCTGGTGTTCCAGCCTCACTTCATGGAGACCAGAAACCCTGCTCTGAAACAGCCTGTCTCTCGACTCTGTTGTCATTCCTTCTGCAACACTCTGCACCCCGCTCAGCTCTTGGAAACACAGCAGCTGTCGGAGGGGATTGGTCACACTGGGACACCATATGCCAGTTGTGTTCCTTGGTTTAAAGAGTGTGTCATACAGGAATAGACTTTGTTTTGAATTTATCACCTTCCAATCGTAGTTAACACCTGCCAGCTTAGTAGTCCAGGACAGGGAAACAACAAACCACCCATTTCACCTCTCAACACACTATTTTACAGCTGTGTCACCTCTTCTCCATTCCCTTCTTAAAATAAATGTCGGGCCCTTCTATCTCCCCCAGCGTATGTTATTATTCTTGCTTCTCTTCTCCAGACACCTCCCAGATCTGATACACCTCTGAAGAGCGAGCATGACTCTCCAGGGAAACCCAAGAGACTCCAGGGAGAGCAACTTCCATAACTGGGTCTGCCAGTGATGAAGTTTTCTTGACCACAGCTGCAAACCAAGTGGAGGTTTTGCTGGTCTCCCTCACCACCACGTCATTTACATTGTTATCTCAAACCACAACAGGTACTGATTACTTGCATCTTACGTTATTAACTCTTTTGTATGTCAGCGAGCACAGGAGAAAAAAAAATGGTCACATGGTTTTTGTCCACACTCATCCACCTTTCCTTGTGAACCTGCTAAGAAAACTCACCCTATACAGGCAGGGGCTGAGGTAGGCACATTTGAGAGTTTCACCTTTCTCTGACCAGGATCTGCCAAAGTCTGGAGCCCAACGTGGAAGTCCTGCTGGCGTGGAAGAACAGCCAGAAGAGAGAGACAACATGCGATTTGGGGTGTATTTTGTGTTGCAAACCCCTTCCCTACATACACAGAGCTCAGAGTCTATCCCCTCAGCTGATCAATCCCCTTTCTAGGTTTGTCCGAGATCAGACTAGACCAGAGCAAGACAAGCCACTAATGGGCACGTGGACTTCACCTGCATGGAGTGCCAGAGAATTGCAAAGAGACGCTCCTTGATCTGGTGTACCAACTCCAAACCAGCACTGAAATGCTCTGCTTTCAGGAGCTGAAGAGAAGAGGCCAGGTCCTGGTACTGCAGCAGGGTTTCTTCTGCAATCCAAGGCCAACAAAGTCACACTGCTTCTCACGCTCTTAAGCACAGACCAAGTCCCTTGGCTCCGATTATGAAGCCAGTCACGGCTACTTAGGTCTCCTGTGCACATGCATTCCTTATTCAGAAGGGAACACGTTGCTCCTTACTGTGTCAGTCTCCACTGGCAGCCAAACTGCTTCAGTGGACTTCCCAGAAATGACACCAAGAAGGCAAAAACGGGCTGGGAGAAGCGAGAGAGACGAGCTGCGTGCTGGTCTGTATGCTATCGCCCCACTACAGAGCTGCCACCCTTTGAAGGAGACAGCTAGGAATGCTCATCTCTACTAGGGAGAGGCTGTGGGACTTACCCAGAAGGATCTGCAGAGCATTAGTGTGCAGCTCTAAGCTCTCAGTCTGCTGTTCCACAATATCCATGCTCTCAGTGTCCTGGTTATAGTAGCTGTACACACAGGAGTAGGCCAGCACCTGGAGCAGTACAGATCATGCTGTAGGCATCCTCCTTCAGCTTCAGAGTGGGCAAGAAGAGAGCAGCATCAAACCCTTCCCAAATGTCTTCATTACGTATCAGTGGCTCAGAGAAGCCTGACAGTGCTTCTGGTCTGTGCCGATAGCCCAGCAAACCATTATGCCAAGTGACAGCAGTGCCACGCCACCGAGAGCTACCCTTAGGATGGGAAATGAATGTGTAATTATTTTGTACTGAAGTCTAAAATAACTGGTTGTTCCCACCTGTAAACCATCACAAGAACACAGACTGCATAACAAGTGCTACTGACCAGCAGGCAGACAGCCAAAACAACCAGCACGCAGAATCCACACATTGCTAGGCAGCCCAGCTCCAACTCAAGTGGCAACGAACTGAGAGAACTGAGCCCAAAGGGAAGCAGGCATGGTGCTATACATCACCAAGAGCCCACAACAAAGGCATTTCAACAAGTGACAAACTCCTATTATGAATGCATGATCCCTAAAGCCATCCAGGCACCCAGCTGGAAACAAGACCACTGTTTCCATTTCAAGAAATGGGCCAGAAAAGGCAGCAGCAGCAAGCAACAGTGATACGTATCGTGGCAAACACAGGGGCTACCATACTGGAAAGACAAAACAGGATTAGACACCCTTGTTCCACACGCCTCTCCCAAAATCAGGTCTGCCTGCACAAACAAGGTGTATATTGCAAAGACAATTCCCACCTCCTTCCTATGCTTCAGGAGATAGAAGGCATCGCCTAGAATGACAGACCTACGCTGCCACTGGCTTACTGCACACATCCAAGTGCTGCACTGCAAACCCTTCATAATGTGGCTGTCAGGGCACGTAGTAGGTAACTCAGTGCTCCCAAAACACCTACGGCTCATGAAGTGAAGAAAGGAAAATCATAACATGAGCATCAACAGGGACTTCCTAACTGTAACACAGCACCAGGGGAGCTTTCAAAAGGCAAGTACCACCACTGGAGCATTTCAAATTGGAATGGACCAAACCCAGTATAAGAAAACCCTTAATACAGATCCTTGTGCTGATTCCACAGTGTCAGCTTGAGCTAAGCTCCACATTCTATGACCTGACTGTGAGAACACTGCAGACAGAGCCCAACTGAGAGCAAGAGCAGGAAAGGCAGACATGAGCACTTCCCCTGTCCTGATGCTATTCCTCCCCTCAAGCTTTTTCTGTCTCCCTTTGTTTGGAGCAGAGTGAGGTTGGTGTCTCCTCACTTTAAGAAAGACATAAAACACAGCAACAGAATGCGGCCTAAACCTCAGCAAGCCTGTTATCCAGCCTTACCTTCCGTGCCTGTTCTAGCACTTTGCAGGCATCAAGAACAAAGGTCAAAGTCCTAATTTTTGGCATCTCTCTGATGGAAGAAACCCTGTTCCTCAGACTCACGGCAAATTCCTGCAATAACCACAGGAGAGAAAAAAAAAGTCAATGTCAAGCCACACAAGGTCAAAAAAATAGAACCTTCCACACAGATAATTGGTAAGCATCCTGAAGTGCCATCCCAGGAGATGCAGGCAGTAGGTAAGCATTTATGACATCTCTACTGTGCCATCACTTCAACCTTTTACAGTATCTCAGCTCTAGACAGAGTTCAGCCTTCAGTCACCATTGCTTCCAGGTACTGCAGCAGTCTGAGCATGCAACCATCATAAGTTAGGTGTTCTACCAACAGACTTGGTAGAGGAAAGCAGGCCAAGAACTACACGTTATGTCAGAGCAAGGGTAAAATGACCAGGCATCTCCCTGGATCCAAAGCCTCCTGCTCAGCTTCAGGTGCAATACACTGAGGCACAACAGATACTGCCCTACTCACCCGGGCTAAGGCAGCAGAGTCAGCATCTGCAAAGGAAGCAGGAGGCCTTACCCTTGCACGATGATGAAAGGTGCATCTCTCATTGTAATCCTGAAAACGCTTCTTCTGCCAAGCTGCTTTACTCACCTGAAACAAAAAGTAGAAGTAACCTGTAGCAATTTCCCTCACGTACAAGGGTTGCCTTGAAATGGCAACCACACATACACACTTCAACAATACCCTCAGTATTACTGGCAAGGGCACAAAGTCCAGAGCAAAGGGCACAACTGGAGACCCTCACCCTCTCTCTGAGAGGGCAGATGTATTCAAATACAAGCATGAACCACCGGGATATAGCAAACCACTCACCATAGCGGAGCAGTTGTAATAATCCTTATGAGTCGGCCTCCAGGGCTTGAGGCAACGCCAGCAGAAGCCATGGTTACACTTTGCACACGTCATACTGCATGGTAGAAGACCAACGTAAATCACTCAGTCCTAACAGCCATGTACAGGCAGTTCCTCCCAGGGCTCCCCTACATCACAGGGCGACCAGTCACTCCCACTCACTCAGTGCTAGGCATTTCCCTGCATGTATTTTTTATAGCCTTTGCTGGAAGCAGGTGATGCTTAAAATCAGCCATTGTGTCTCCAAAAATGAGCTGCGTAAACTGGCAGCACGATCTCACAGTACCAACTTAGCAACTACTTGAAGGCTGAACTAAGCATTCCACAGTTTGAAGCAAGATCCACTCGAGCACCTCACCTCTTCCCTCAGTAACGCAGCACTCCAGAGTGCAGAGAGGCACTGCACAGCCCCAGGGCCACACACAGCATATGGGGGCAAATCACAGCTGGGCACTAAGGGCTGTGCCAGTGCAAGAAAGAAACAAACGGCGACACCTTAAGCCCTGGCTTCAAAGCTGGAGGTAACCCCCCTATCATGTAAAAAGCTGTCAGAGATCCAAGCCAATTCACAACAGGTAGTTAAAAGAAAATTGCTTGAAGTTACTGGAATAGGTGAGCATGAAAGAAGAAAGTGGTGCTGAGATATCCCCTCCCCTAACCTGTACCTCTCTGTATGCCTACAGCCAATTCTGAGAGCAGACAAGCATGCACTACAAAAAGGTACTGCAAAATGAGTTTTGGTTCTACTACAGAGCTATCAATGGATAGTCTCCCATGATATCCTCCTAGGGAAGCTCAGGAAGTGTGGGCTGGATGAGTGGTCGGTGAAGTGGATTGAGAACTGGCTGAATGGCAGAACTCAGAGGGTTGTCATCAGCGGCGCTGACTCTAGTTGGAGGCTGGTAACTAGTGGTGTCCCCCAGGGGTCAGTACTCGGCCCAGTCTTGTTGAACTTCTTCATCAACGACCTGGATGAAGAGTTGGAATGTACCCTCAGCAAGTCTGCTGATGACACCAAACTGGGAGGAGTGGTAGATACACTAGCAGGCTGTGCTGCCATTCAGTGTGACCTGGATAGGCTGGAAAGTTGGGCAGAGAGGAACCTGATGAGGTTCAACAATTGCAGGGTCCTGCACCTGGGGAGGAACAACCCCATGCATCGGTACAGGCTTGGGGTGGACCTGCTGCAGAGCAGCTCTGTGGAGAG